GGGGCAACGATTACAGTTTGCCTGGTGTGCGCAAATTTCATATCCGCAATGGCCTGCCGCCAACATCATTAGCCGTCCACGTTGATGTAGTTTTTGCTGGCTTCCACCATTAAGGGAACCGATTAGTTCAGCTCAAATTTCTGTCATCAATTCTTTTTTTTTTTAGCTTATTGCAATACTACGGTTGGAGGATTTTCACCCACCTATCTCACTTAACTGTTGTGATATCGCTATAACGGAGAATAAATTCTTGTTTTGACACTTTTAATGCCCAGTTGTAGGATACGGCAATAGGCAACTGCTTCCGGTAGGGAAGTCTGTAATCGAACCAAGAAGATGCTGTAAATGCGCGAAGAATTATCGCTAAATATTGGCAAAGTTACGACATTTAACCGTGCAGTTTGCGCGGAAATAGTCACTAAAGACACGCGCCCGCATTAGATCTGATTGATCTCAAAGTGAAACCAGTCATATTCGTACCTTCTAAATTGTTAATTCGACACTTCCGTAAAGGTCCGCGGAGATCTGGCTTCGGGCCACCTGCCTGTGGGCTGACTCGTACATCAACGACCAACAGGATAGGCTTCAGGGCTGTAGTTTGCTCGGCTTGCGTAAGGTAGTATGCCACTTAGTGCCTAAACTCCGTATGCGAAGCACGCGGCTTAAACACAAAATTTAGATTTGCGAGGCCTATTCGACAATTTTAAACAGCGTATGTTTTTTTACTTGCCCCTAGTGATGTAGAAATCAAAAGAAAAATAACTAGTTGATATATTATGTGTAAAAATGATTAGTTGAAATTTAGCAGTGACTTGTTCGAAATGTGCATCCATTTCAACTTTTGATATTGCGGGATTACCGCAAATAATGAAGCCCTTAACGGGCTTTATTTATTGGGTATCTTAAGAGTACTCATAATGTGTGTAGACATTGCATCAACTTTGGCTTATGAATAGCGCCTCTAAAACAACGACAAATTTATTTCGTGTATCTAAAGCTAGAACATAACCCAACGTTAAAAATATGATAATCATAACAAAGCAAAACTGCAGCTACAACGCAAAACCACAGCGACAAGGCAAAGCCCGGCTACTTCTTTCCCAGCCTGTTGACCTGAACAAGTGCTTGTCTGCACACTGTCCTGCTCCTTCACGGGTCAATCGGCAAATAACAAAGGCTCATTCTCATTTGAAGCGGGATTCGCGTGTTTGGTATCACATTACCTCTACGACGAAACAGAAAACCCCAACGAGAAATAGACCCCATAACGGACGCATCGACACTAGGTCAATGTCTTATATGTAGGTCAGCACAATAGATCTCCAACGCATGTCGATAGACATTGTCATCTTCTGGAATGTGGCTGCACGGGCTTAAGAAAGACTCAGAGTGTGCGACGTTGGTTTGGTGCTTTTACTAAAGCCATTCAACAAAAACACGCCTACATTAACTCTTCGAGGAAATGGTAATTCAACGTTAATTCGACGATTACGGTAGGTAAATCAATGTTGGATTATTTTCAAGATTTGCTAAAACAACGAGTGTGGACATCGTTTAGATAGAATGTGTGCAAAGTACAATATATCTAATACTGTATTTTAACCCTAATCATTTCAATGTTAAACTTGATGACGGTCTTGCTCATTTTGACGCAAGCATTTGCGACAAACTGCCGTCTGTGGTTTTTCATCATTAGTAACGAGCCAAAAGCTAACAGGTGGTAACGAGCAACTGTAATTGGGATTGAAGCCGCTGCCACATCCTAATAATTAGGACCTAATTGGTATGAACATGAGGAGTAAAATGTGCTGAACTCCCAGGAAACTAAACCAGTATTTTGCTAGATCCACTCAAAATATGGATGGACAAGACATGAAAGCGAGTTTGACGCAGGTAAAGGAGGGAAGCAGCTTGCTCGGTGAGTTCAGATTTTATTTGGAAGCCCCGCATTTTCGATACGGTGGCATTTTAGAAATGGTCATTCCCCCAAACTAATTAACTGGTTGAATCCCGTTTTAAGTAAACCGTTAAGTAAATAAAGTAGTGATGTATCATCTGTACCGTGTTACAGACAAACGATGGCAGAGTAAAGCCTGTACTGTATTATACGTCCGGTACCATTCTTCAAGTATATGTCATGATGTTTATGTTTACAGGCACACGACTGTAAACCTCCAAACGATTCAGCAAATCTGTGTTGTCTTTTCAAAACGCGAGTGTACCCTCTTATATATGTGGGTGTGCAGCCTCTGGTTTCCTGTGACTACATGTACATATATCTCCCTTTACTTAAGTTACCCCCATAGTGTTGGGCTCCGCTCAGTACCTCTGTCTACATGCACCACTTCCTGTTATCGTTATCCTCTCGATTAAAAAAATTATTAATTTCCAAATAAATGAACATCTCGCAACCCATGGAGCAAACAGACAAAACAAATCTCGAGCCTGCGATCTGAACTGTATTTCTTGATCTCTGTCGACCTGTTAGCTTCAGCGCTTCAGGCATTAGCACCGACCTCAGCAGTCTCTTTCCATTTTACAATCTGCCACCCCCAGCACAGTCCCAGTCCACAAGCATGAATATCCGCAGCATCTTCATCGCTACCATCGCAGCAATGGCTGCTGCTGCTGAAGCTCAATCCAAGGTCATTCCGTACGACACGGTACAGCCCTTTCCCCAGCCGGTTCCCACCACTGAAGCCCAAAAGGCCATTCTCAAGTACAAGCCTCAACTCAAAGTTGAGGAAGGATGCCGCCCATACCCGGCCGTCCAGCAAGACGGTGCCATTAGTAGTGGTCTCAGATGGAGTGGTCCGGAGGACATAGGGTGCAAGGGCTCACTTCGGGGCTCTCAAATCTATGCTCGCTCAAAACTGTTCAAGGACAAGTGGGCTGTCATGTACACTTGGTACTTCCCTAAGGGACGTGCACCGATTCCGGGTCCACGCTCCTCTGGTCACCGCCACGGCTGGGAATACGCTGTCGTGTGGTTGGACAAGCTCACTGCAGACAATTCGACCATTCTGGGCACGTCCCTGTCAGCTGCAGTCGGTTGGGCGAAGGAATCCCCTACTCCGAAAGAGTACCTGGATGGTAACAGTTTGAAGGTCGCGTACTACTTCAACGACGATTTCAAAAACACTGCTGTGAAGTACACACAGGCTGGTGGTGCGTTCCAAGACCTCATCATCTGGGACCAGCTCTCGGATGTTGCCCGGGCTTCTCTGAGCAACACAGATTGGGACGAGACGCCTTTTAATGTGGCTCGTGTCAAGATGCCGATGAAGGATGGCGTGTTCGAGGAAAAGCTTTCGGGCGCGTATCCATTTTAGATTGACCTGTCAGGCAGCTTCAGCTGACAGGCTGGGAGTATGTACTAGTAATAAGTACCGCGCGGTCAAAACTTCATCACTGGCGCCACGGGCGAGGAAGTACTGTAGAGGGCTTGTGTTACCAAAACAAGAAAAATAATACAAATGTAATGTTTTTTCGTTTTTAGAGAGACAGAAGGCTTTTAGTAAATTTCTGATAGTCCTATAAAAGGGGTGGAAGGGATCATACGCCTGAATTCGCTAGGAGATACAAGAATTACCTCAGTAAACAACACCTTGTGCTGGGCTCAATCGGACAGAGATCGAGCGGATCGAGACAGATCAGCATGAATTTCGCGGAGACACTATTTTAGTTTAGTACTGAACTGCCATCATTAGTGATACTAATACTACGCTAGGGAAGGGAAGCTCAAATAGTATTTGAATCACAGACCCCATCTTAAAAAGATGCTAGTTCTTACTAGGATGGTGTGTCAGTTTAAGTGAGCCTCCTGAATGGTCAATTTTGATTTATCATATCAGCGTCAATTTTAGAAAGTAAAGGAAAGACGTCGATTTCGTTTTTTGTGAGGTAACTATTAATACCAATAGAATTCATAGTATGCGGAACGAAAACGGAGCGACTGATATCACCGCGTTGTTTACGTATGTGCTCATTTCACTCTCTTAAGCCCCATACCCCGTGAACTCAAGAGTATCGTTTGCTGCCATACTATGTTAAGTACAGTATTGACGACAAGAAAGCTGAATCCGTGATGACGATGGATGATGGCTATTTATCCTAGGTTACCATGGTACGAGATACTTCTGTACTTCCAACATATACAAGGGTTACGGAACTAGAAATCACCACTGAATCCGTGTTGCGTCGCACTTCCTTCACTTAACGTACTCGACCGTAAGCTTATTCGATATTCGTCGGGAGATCATTGACCAAATTGTCAGACGTGATGAGAGCTTTCTTCAGCACACGATTCACATCCTCGAGATTGCCAAGTACTCGAAGCAACGTCGTTAGCAAGTCCATTTTCCAGTCCAGCTGCGTCACGCGCCCGGCCGAATCATCCCATTGAAATCGCAATGAACACCGACAGTCGAGTCGGCGACCGAGCAGGCGAGTCCACAGCATAGTGTGTTCTGTGCCAAAGCCGGTATGTTCAGCACCAGAAGTTGCTAACAGATGCGGGAATACATGCCGCAACGAGGTTTCTGTGATGGTAAAACTGAAAGATGCAGTTGCCACTAAGGCTCCAAAAGGCTGTTCTTCCATCCCTTTCAGTTGGAAATTGAGATTTCCAAAGTAAGTTGAATAGCGCCGCCACTGTTCAATAAGAGCGTCAACGCCACTCTGTTCTCCGATCACAATGTCTGGTGACATCGCAGACCGAAGAAACCATTCTTGGTCTCGGAGATTGGATGGATTGGGCTCACTCATTGGCGCGAGATATCCGTAGCGAAAGAGGCGAAAGTATTCAACCACGACATGCCAAATGTTGTTCTTGGTTTGGACGCCGTAGCACAGCGTGTGACGCTTCACAGACAAGTTCTGCACTTCTTCTCGCAGCTGCTCGACACGTTCTTGGAGCTCGTGGATAAACTCGCGCTGTCTAGTCCGGTATCGCGCTTGGTTGTTACGACATTGCTCGCGACGTCGTTGAGTTTGAAGTCTCTTGCGCCTTGGCTTGATTATTACAGTAGCCCCGTAAGCACTCGGCGACGAAGGCAGCAATGGCTCTGGCCGAGCATCGTACAGCTCGGTCACATCGCGTTTCCGGGTAAAAGATGCAGCAAGACGTCGAGGTGAACCTTCCTTCTTTTCGCCGAAAGCTTGGAAGAGAGGCTGATGCTGCTGAGGGCTGCTTCCGCCACTTTCTAAGCGTGTGAATGACTTCATGCTAGCTCCAAATCCGAGACTCCTGGTCTCGAGTACGTCCATTTCTTGCTTTTGAAACGCTTGGAATCCGCTGGTGAAAACTAAAAGTGAGGAAGGAGGACAAAGTTCCAAGTGATCAGTTGTAGCTTGATCGCCCTTCTGAACGTCACATCTGCGACCAGTTTGTTGATGCGTTTTGCTAATAAACCGCAAACTCAAAAGTTTCAGCGATTGCGTGACCCGATTTTGTTGACGGGAATCCTATAGTCTTCGTCATCAATGATACTTTGCGGATGTAGAAGATGACGGTTTCCCTCACTTTGACGTAAGCGCTGCGGGAAAGAAAACGGAACAGTAAGGAGTCACTCGAGTATTATCCACTGCTTGCCAGTCAAGTCTTGGAACACCTTCGTTGAAAGTGAGTATCGATATGAATCCGCGCATTAGCAAAAGCTTGGCATTTCTTTTCATTTTTTTAGGTGAGGTATGTTGTGCACCTCAATTGCGAGTAGCTTCAGCTGATAGGCTTAGTCATGTTGTGCGTATGTGTCTGGCAGCTATCGCGGGGGTTATGCGTCTGCAGGATTACTACCCACGATGCTCACTCGGCTGTAACACACCTATCATATCATGTACTAAGAAATCACGACCTTAAGCCGCACAGACCCTCACATCAAAACTACGATGTATTGTGAAAGGAAAGACAGCAACAATGATGTTGTGCTGCATATAGTAGCCACACTGAATCCACGCTGTCACCGTCAAAGCGAATTCTTCGCTTTGCCACTCTTGGCAGGTGCCTTATTCAGCATCCGTCGGTAAATCATCGATCAAATACGCAGACGTGATGAGGGATTTCTCCAGCACACGATTCACATCCTCCAGGTTACCAAGCAAACGGAGTAAGGGCTTCAACACGTCCACCTTACCGTCCAGTTGGGTCACACATCCAGTCGAATCATCCCACACAAACGAAGTGTAGTCCGATAGTGAAGTCGTTGACCGAGAAGGCGTGTCGACAGCACCACTTGCTCAGGGTCAGATTCAGCATCTTCAGTACTAGCAGCCGCTAGCAAATGTGGAAAAACACGCCGTAACGAGTTTTCTGTGATGGTAAAACTCAAGGATGCAGTTGCAACCAAGGCCCCGAGTGGCTGCTCTTCTATCCCTTGCAGCAGCATAATAGGACTTCCTAAGTAGCTTAAATAGCGCCGGCACTGTTCAATGAGAGTATCCACGCCGGTCGATTCTCCGATCGCAACGTCTGAAGACATCGCAGACCGAAGAAACCACTCTTGGGTTCGGAGATTGGATTCACTGGACGCTTCGGTCAGGGCCAGATTGAGTTCATCCGGCGGCGCGAGGTACCCGTGGCGAAAGAGCCGAAAGTATTCCACCGCGACATGCCAAACGGTGTTCTTGGTTTGGACGCCATAACACAGTGTGTAGCGCTTCACAGACAACTTCTGCACTTCTTCTCGCAGCCAGTCGACACGATCCAAGAGCTCGCTAACATGTTCGCATTGTTTGATCCGATAGCGTGCTTGGTTGTCACGAGATTGCTGGCGTCGTCTTTGAGTACTGAGTCTCTTGACCTTCCGCTTCGTTGCCAAAGCTGCAACATAAACGCCTGTGTAATCTCCCGAGGCCGTAGTTTTCTCTAGAGCGGATGCGACTATCGACGACTGCTCCTGCTGAGTGCCATACAACTCAGTCATATCGCGTTTCCGGGTGAAAAGCGCAGCATGGCGTCGAGGCGAGTGGTCGGTCTGAGCACGAAACAGCAGTCGAGTGCTGTGTTCACCTTCTGGATGAGGCAGTGGCGAGGTATTAGGCCCAGATTCACGGCTATTGACGAACATTGTTCGCTCTTGACACACGTGGATCCGTAGGGTAAAACTCGATGTGAGGTTGGAGATTAAAGGGCCCAGGTATCACACGGAAGTGTGGCATAGGAATTAGCATATTTGTTGATGCATTTTTAAAACTCCACAAACTTCTGCTGTTGACGGAGACGAGGCACCATCGTCATCGTGTCTTCACCAATGAGTGGTTTCCTCACTTTGACGTGTGTTTTAACATGTCAAAGTGAGGAAAACTTAATTATTATACTTTTTTTAAAAAAAAAACTTGTTTTGCGATGCTTGAGTACATTGAGCATAGCAATTGTTTAGTTTTTCATATCCGCATTAAATACTTATACATTTTTAAATATTCTACCGGGAGGGATACGGAGTTCTGTAGAGCATCACAGAAATTATATCGTTCCAAAATATCGACTGAGTTAGCACAAGCGATCAAGTAATATTAAAAATAAAAGATTTATAATACAACAGTGTTGGAACAACACTTGTACAAGTACCACAAAAAGAAAATATGCAAGCAATAATCTTTTGTGGCTCAAACACGACGTACCTGTGTAGCCTCTGATCCACTACTGGAGAAGCTCGTTTTGCTTTTATCTGCCGCGAGTTACCCGTTGCATGATTTACTGCTCGTGCGGTGCTGCATGGTGATATCATAACTGGGAGTCATGAGAGGATGCCGTCGTCCTGAAGTCCCTGAACACCCTGCTCCTGTCCGTGGCACTCTTCAACAGCACAAAACACCGCCAGCCATCTTGAACCTTGGCGGCGTCATCTTCGAACGCAAGCATCGTGTGACCATGAAACATTCTTGATCGATTTTAAAATGCAAGCCTTCTCTCCCCGTTCCTGTTTCCTCTTCTCTCTCTCTTCGTTCGACTGGCATCTTTTTTGCTGTTATCTTTTCTGCAGACTCGCGGCAACCTTGCCAACTACTGCTCGCATTGGGGATATAGATGCTGCTATGAACAATTTCCCTTCCAGCTCACTGCACAACGCAATGCAATCAGTCAGTACCCAATTCAGCGACTGCCACATCAACCCAACAGCTACCGATTTACCTCAGACATGGTCTCATCGCCCTTGGCATTACTACAAGAACAATACAAGATAGCGAGTACCAGCAATCGTTAGCAAGAATAAAGACCGATACAACACAACAGCATCAACAGATACGTACTTCGCGGAGGGGCTGCGAGCTGCGCTGGATTCCTCGCTATCAATACATTAACGATATCAACATTAGTGTATCATCTCCTTTGATAAACAAATAAACCTCAACTCACCGCTTAGGCGACGGAGAAGTACGACGTGGAGACGGTGAAGCACGCGGAGAAGCCGATCGCTTGTCTCCTGGGCTGGCACTGCGTCTACATATTAACACAGTCAGTGTGGTTACTCATTTTTACACTATCTCAGTACAATTGTAATACCTCTTCGGAGAGCGCGAACGCGAGTTGGAGCGGCGGCGGGGCGAGCGTTTGGGTCTGTATCGAGACAATAAACACGTTAAAACACTGCATTAGTCTGTGGATTTCCGTATCTGCACGTACGATCCCTCGGTCGGCAGGTTGAGGATACGGCGCATTTCCTGCGGACTCTTGCGGTGCTGCTTGGCGAAGAGCACGGCGATCTCGCGGCCCCCGAGCTGCGTGCGGTCCATTTCGAACTTGACGTCGCGACCCACGCGCGCGTCTGCGAACTCGATGAAGGCGAAGCCGCGGGGGCGGTTGGTGCTGTACTCTTTGGGGATGTACACGTCCAGGATGTCGCCCGCACGACGCGAGAAGGCGCGACGCAGCTCGTCGGCCGACGTGTCGGGAGACAAGTTGCGCACCAAGAGACTGATGGGGTCCCGACGGCCGCGGTCCGCCGAGCGCGAGCGTCCGCGACGATCACGGCCCCTGCTCCGGTCTCGTCGGCGGTCACGCGAACGAGAACGAGAGCGGCCCCGGTTGCGGTCTCCACGCGACCGAGAGCGCGAGCGCTTGGGCGGAGAAGAGCCGCGTCCCCCACGACTGCTGCTACGACTACGCGGACGCGCACGGCGTGGGCTGCGGCTACGGCTACGGCGCGGAGAAGCGGAGCGACGACCCATGATGAAAGGGACGAGGAAATCGGTTTTTGAACGCTTGGTGGCGCGAAAAACTACCGAAAAGCATAGAAAACTGCAAAAATTTGCGAAATTTGATGGCTAACATACATCTTGAGTCATTTTATCGCGATTTTTTTTAATGAGAATTCCAAGATAGAAAAAAGAATCTATGGCAGTGGACTAGACGCCTATGAGCGCGGACGCTGGCGCTGCACGGGCTCAGAGGAGCCAAGTTCGAGGCAACGCTCGTAAGCAGCCCAGATGGAGTCGGCGATGACGGCGCGGAAGCCGTTTTTCTCGGCACGGTAGAGACCAGCAGCGGTGGTGCCACCCGGACTAGTGATGTTATTCCGCAGTTCGACCGGGTGCACGTCCTCCGACTGCATGTACAGTGCAGACCCCAGCATCGTTTGCTGCACAAGTTTCTGCAACAGCAGCAAATAACAATGTCAATGCCAAGGATTGTCAGAGGGGAAAAAAAAACTGTTGAAAGCTTCGTACCGTGGCCACAGGTCGTGAAAAGCCCATGTGGACGCCCGTATCGATCATTGCCTCGGCGACGAGGAAGAAATAAGCCGGTCCTGATCCAGACAGGGCAGTCGCCATGTCCAAAGCGTTCTCGTCGTCCACGAACACCTGCGTCCAAGCAGTAAAATACCAGATCAGCATCTAGAAAACTCAATAATTATTTCCAGTATACCGCACCTCGACGCCGAAGGACCCGAGGATCTGCTTGGTGAGTTCATGCTGCACACTCGTGACTTCCGCTGACTGCGCCCAGACGGTCGTGCCCTCTCCGATCATAGCCGGCGTGTTGGGCATCGTTCGAATGATGTGGCTATCCTGCCCCAAGTGTTGCTGCAGCTGCTTGATACTCTGGCCAGCGACCACGGAAATGACCAAGGCATCCGGATCCATCGATGCCTTCACAGCTCGAAGCACCTGACAGTAAAAAAAAAAGGTTAGTTCGCTGATAAAATGTCAGAGGTGACTAAAGATATTGACGTACGTCGTCGACCACCTGCGGCTTGACCGCCACCAAGATGACGTCCGCGTCCTTGACCGCCGAGCTATTGCGCGTGTGCGTTTCCACGTTCAACTTGGCGTATTTGCCGCGCATGGAAGGGTTGGGATCGGAGACCACGACCTTGGAGCTGGGGATGAGCCCCTCGGTCAGCACGCCCGTGATGATGGCCTCGGCCATGTTGCCGCCGCCGATCACAGCCAGACGGTTGAGATCCAGCTCCGCGTACTCGACGGACTCGACTGCACTCTCTTGTTGTTTCTTGCGGGAGCGAGCAAACGGTCCTTTGCCCCCAGTGGAGAAGGAGGCGCATTGGGACATCGGAGCGAAGGCGGACGCGGCACGAAGCAGAGGAGCACGACGAGCAACGGAGACGCTGCGAGACGACAAACGTGCAGCGGCCTGTCGGGCGACAGCGGGGCGAAGCTTGGACGCGATGGACTGCATCGTGGAGTGCGGAGAGGACGTGTGGGGTAGCCGGCAAAAGCGGAAGTGAAACGTGCCAAGATTTGAGCAAACGGCGTTGGCTCGGCTCTGAAAAAGCATAACTTCAACTTGTTAATCACAAATAGTGATAGAGTAGATATTACCTTTGTTACCGTATTTCGACATCGGTTATTACAGGTTAACGTTCTAACGCTGTTGCGGTGCCAGAAGGTGATCAGATCGAGAGACTCATGCGCGGACAGGTATGCGGTATGGCACTCGCCGGGTGGCGACATCTGAGACCAGGTGCCGACGCTAACGTTGCGTGAATATAGCTGGAGTTGACACCGACGTACGCGGCGCAGCTGGACGGGAAGATCTTGGCGAATGCGCACGCGGTGGGAGACATGGACGGTGATGGAGCGACTGAGCTGTTATTCGGCTCACTAATGGGCAAAGTATCGATCTTTAAGGTGTGCGAGCATTGCGATCAATTGCTACTGGGTATATTGGAGGCTAACAGAGCAGTTGCAGATTGTTGGAGATCGCCTAACGCAGTGGAAAAGCTGCGAGGTGAACGGATCCGTGACGTCCATCTGCTTGGACTATTGCTTTGCTGGAGACGTGAGTGCCATGAGAAGAATACCACACTGGATGAAGAAACTGATTCTTAATCTATGGGTTTGCTGGTGTTTGAAACAGACCCGGATTATTGTGGCGACAGCAGAAGGGAAATGCTCTGTGTTCCGCTCAGTGGAGGGCGCCGAAGTGCTCCAGCTGTGCTCCGATTTTGTAAGAAAATTGCGTGGTAGTGACATAATGGCGTATTGTGGACTAATTGACGTTATTTGCTTGCCAGAATGTTGCACTCAATGTCTGTGACGTGGTGCACTTGAACAACGAGCTCATTGTTGCAACGCGTGACGGACGAGTGCTCGTCTATCGACCCAACATGAACCATGACGAGGTTAATGTGTGATCTCTGATTGCGTCTAAGACGCGGTAAATCTCACAATGTTATTGTTGACAATTCAGCTTGCAGAATATTCCCAGGTCGCTCAAATGGAGATCGATGACGAGATCGAAACGTTGATCGTGTTGCGCCCCAAGGCAGACACTTCGCCTCAAGTCTTGGCTCGATGCTTCTCAGGTGAAGTGTATTCCATCAGTGGGTTAAACGTTGAAGACAAGCGAGAAATCGTGTCTTGGGATGGTCCGCCGCGTGAAAATGAAGGCGTCACATTTGTGGTGGGCGACATCGAACTGGGAGCTGAACAAGGAATGAATGCGCTAGTGTCGATGAATGGTCTTGTGTCGTTATTCTCTTCGTCTGGAGAGAGACAATGGGATTTCCAGGTGCGTCAAGGAATGCTAAATTATTTGCAATTGCTAGCTTGCAATGTCTGAATGTGTCGTGCTCTATTCAGTTGCCTGAGGCCGTGGTGAACGCCGACAAACTCGAGATGACAGCGTCAAATGGAGATCGACAGGATGCCGTACGTCATTAGAAACGGTAAATTTTGCACGTTCAGCTAACGAATGACCTGCTTGCTGTGATTACAGATCGTAGTCTGCACTTGGAGTGGCCAAATGTACGCGATCCAAAGCGAACGACGACTCGTGCGGTTCCGAATGCTGCTACCTGGTTGCTCGATGTTCTGTGGTAAGTCGTTGTCTCTCTTGTCCTTGGATTTTATTAACCTTATGTGTATGGGAAATTTAGTGGGTATTCGAGATTTCTCCGCTCATATTGACCCCACCATTGTGGGCATCAGCACTTCTGGCACAGTTTTCGTGTACCGAGACGTGCAGGAAACTCTCATTCGAGGCCTACAGGACTCTACGCTGGTATGGCACTACACACTACTGTCTCTTTACGTTCCATAGTTCACCTGGTTTCGTTCTATTGCAGGCGGATAAAGTGAGGGAAAGCCCCGTGTTTGCTCAGATAAACACTCCTGAAAAGCGTAAAGAAGTGATGGACAAACTGCGCAAGACGTTCCCACACTCTGCTGTGTCCAATTCTGACACGCCAAGTGTAGAAGAACTCATCCAGGCGATGCTTGCGGTTCAGCTGCAAGCGTAACAAGGCACTTATCAATGTGTATACATGTACCTTGCATATTTTATGGAGCATCTGGGTATGATCCGTTTGATTGTCTGTCTACCAGTTCTGCAACTGATAAGCGTGCTCGACGAGGCTGTTTACATCCTCAGGACCACGACGCAGTAGTTCTTGAGTGAAGTCACCCACGTAATTGAGGTGGACGTTGACGTCGTACGAGTTGGTCGAGTTGAGCTTCCAAGAAGAAGCGAAGGCACGGAAGGCGATGCAGAACAACTCAAAGAAGGCCACCGGGTCCTCAAAAAGCCTCCAGAACGGACGTTCTGAGCCCAGACAACTTCCATCTTTCAGTTGCAGTATATCAGCGAGCACATACGCAATCTGTGAGCCCACCAGTGCGTACGAAAAGGCCTCTGGGCCGCTCTGGTCGTTCAGAATAGGCAATGCCACAGTGCGACGCACCTCGTGGAAGTATACAAGACACTGTAGAGGCAGTAAGAACTGCATCTCACGCATAGGGTCTCCATGTCTAAAGCCCAGTCGATTCCACTCTGGACTCGTCACTACGAACGGCTTCGAGTCGAAGCAAGACGTCCACAGTCTCTGGAGAAACTCAACATGTTCATGATTCCCAGGGTGTAGAGGGGCCTTCATGACACCAATGAGCTTGGCCAATTGCGCCAATGCCGTCGCTGTAGGTGGTGCATTCCCTGCTGCTCCCCCGACTCCTGCAGCGGCCGTGACTTTCTCCCACATCTGCGCTGAGTGTTTTTGTAATGTCTGAGCCATAGCGGATCCTTTCATCTTGGATGCCAGCGCCTTCTTGACGCCAAAGAGCACAGAGCCTACGTCTTGCTGTGTTTGTTGCGGCTGTGGCATGGGATATCCCTCGCTCTGGGGTTTATTTTGCCAGTGGAAGAAGGCGCGGAAGTGTCGATCTTCAGGCACATCCACATGATCTTCGTGTATGGCTGGTGTACTGTCCCCCTCGTCGGCTGGTGATAGCTGCAGCACCTTTACATGGATTTCCCCATTGCTAGAGACTGGAAGAACGCGGTTCTCGTCCATCAGGTCCCTCCAGCAATAGCCATTCGACGTGTCAACCTGAAGACGGAAATGGTACGAGCCCTCGAAGGGGAATTTACGGCGCAATTCGGCCAAAGTGGGATGTGATGACAGCAACAGAGACGACGCGAACTCCTCCAGTCGTGAGTCGTCCGCCTCTAGCAGCATCTGCTGGAAGAAGTAGCGACACAAGACGCCGCAGTCGCCCATGATCGTTCGATAATGGAGCTATAGTGGTAACCGAAGCGGACATGACTACTGATTGGCTGAAATTAAATAATTATTTAATTGGTTGAAAATAAATAATTCCGCCTGTCATAACGTCAAATAGATAGCTTCATCAAGACTCTGGAGGCCTTGGTCGTGGCAATGGAGGAGGACGAATGGGACGACGCATTGCTGTCGGAGATCGCGGCGCTGGAGACGCGTCATCTGCAGACGCGTGGCCAGCAGAATCAGACCCAGAATCAGTCCACAGTCGCTGCAACTACGAGTCTTTCTGGAGTCTGGAGCTGTAGGTCGTGTACGCTGCAGAACGAGGCGTCAAGAACGACATGCCAAGTGTGTTCTACACCACGTGGTCAGGTCTATCAGGCGACAGCGTCTGCACTAGTTAGGAAGCCTGTGCATGTACAGGCTCGGCTTTCCTTTGACGCAACGTCGGCACCTGTGGCGGTGCCACCTTCGCAGCTGCAGAGACAGCAGGAAGAAGGCGGACGCTCTGAGCCATCACCATTTACAGTGAGAGACAGGGAACAGCCAATCAGAAGCTCTCAACAGACCACATTGAGCTCTACAGCCTCCGCACCAGGGCTTGTACTCACATCTCGACGCTCAGAACACGCTACAGCTAAGAGTCCAGCCTCGTCAGCCCTAGAAATCCCTCGACATGCAGCAGGAGAAGATCCTCAGGCTAGAAACAGGTATCTGGACATTGCAGCACGCTCAAACTTTCCCCAGATCGACTACGAAGCCGCCCAGCACTTCGTGTACCCAACCAACTACTCCATTCGAGACTACCAGTTGACTATCGCAGAGAAGGCCTTGTACCACAACACACTGGTGTCATTACCCACTGGTCTGGGCAAGACGCTGGTGGCTGCTGTGGTCATGTACAATTTCTATCGCTGGTTCCCGACTGGAAAAATCGTCTTCATGGCGCCCACGAAGCCACTAGTGGCTCAGCAGATCAAAGCTTGTCACGAGATTATGGGCATCCCACTGTCAGACACTGCAGAGCTGCAAGGGAACGTGCCTCCGACTATGCGTCGAGTGCTCTGGAACTCCAGACGCGTCTTCTTCTGCACCCCACAGAGCTTGCAGAATGATCTTCGTCGAGGAGTGTGTGCAGCTGAAAAATTCGTGTGTATTGTGGTGGATGAAGCTCATCGAGCTACAGGAAATTACGCGTACTGCTGTGTGGTGCAGGAGATCGAGGCAAAGACGCATTTCTTCCGCGTCTTGGCTCTCTCAGCTACCCCTGGAGCCAAGTTCGATGTGATCCAGGACGTGGTGACTAATCTACGTATCTCGCACATTGAAAGTCGCTCGGCGGATGACTCAGACGTGAAGAAATATACCCACGCTCGACAGGAAGAGGTGATTGTGTGTCGTCTGGGCGCTCAGATCATGGAGATCAAGACGCAGTTCCTCAAGCTCTTCATGCCGATCATTCAGCGACTTCTACGTGGTAATATCATCCAGAATAGCGACCCGGAGAAGCTCTCGAGCTGGTATGTGCTGCAAGCGAGGGAGAAGTTCCGGAAAAGCCCCAATTACGCCTCAAACCGCAGTGCAGAAAGTGACCTGGCGCTTCTCGTGAGTTTGCTGCACGCCAAGAGTCTGTTAACTGGCCATGGACTCAGCAGTTTCCGAGATCAGATCGTGAATTGGATAGAAGAGCGCAAGAAGGGCAAAATGTCGTGGTCTAAGCGAGAAATGCTGCAATCATCAGAGTTTCAAGCGCTTGAAGCGAGTCTTGCAGTAACAGACGATAGCAACAGCTCTAGCAACACTAACAGCCACCCGAAACTGGTTAAACTTCGTGAAGTGCTGCTGGAGCATTTCCAACGTCATGCTGCGGGCGGTTCAAGCACACGTGCCATCGTGTTCACGCAGTATCGGGCCAGCGTGTCGGAGATTGTAGCTCTACTGCGTCCACTGGCGCCTCTGCTGAATGTGCAGCCGTTTATTGGCCAGGGTGCGTCTGGTAAAGCCAAGGAGAACAAAGGCCAGTCCCAGAAGGTGCAACAAGAGATCGTGCGCAGGTTTCGACTGGGTGAGTTCAACGTCCTCGTGGCCACGTGCATTGCAGAAGAAGGTCTGGATATTGGCGAAGTGGACCTGATCGTCTCGTTCGATGCACTCACGTCGCCTGTGCGGATGATCCAACGCATGGGCAGAACGGGACGCAAGCGTGTGGGCAGAGTTATTATCCTAGTGACGGAAGGCGATGAGCAAAAGAAACTGGCACGTAGTGCGTCCGCTGCGAAGACTGTGAGTCGCGCTCTCACGACGTTCAAGAGCAGGTTCGCGTACTCCAAGTGTCCTCGAATGATTCCCACTGGGATTACTCCGCAGTTAAGAGAGTTAGAGATGAAGATCCCAACGTTCCATGCGTCTCAGGTGGGTGGGAAGACTGCGTCGGTGGCACTGGATCCTAATTTGTGGCAACTTAGCGACGCTGAACGTGCAGTGGCGCTGATGAAGTATTTTCCGCCGAATTTCGCGTCAAGCTCAAGGAATAAACTGTTCCCAGTTGTTGCGAATCGTGCGCATCTGTTACGACGGCAACCACGGAGTTTAGTTCGGAAGGGAGTGGGGTATTCCGCTCGGTCGCTGATGTTGCAGAGTCTTGTACGAAAGATCCACGATGTGGAGGAAATACTGGAGATTGATTCAGACGATGACGAGAAGAGGGAAGGTAAATCTATCGCTTCAGGTGCTGAGCAGCAGTCGAAGTCCAGTAAGAAGCACCGTCGACTCAGAGTGAGTACGGATAATGCGGAAACTGACAGCGAGATTGGCTCTCCGTGGCGACAGCCCAGTACTCCTATTGAGCTGGATGGGGACAGTAAATACGACGAGTCTTTTGCTGCGATGAACGAGTCGATCAATTCTTTCGACATGCACTTCAGCCCGCAGTTTGTCGACTCGGCAACTCAGTTGGCCGCTGTTGAAGAAGACAGTCAGCCTAAGGAGTGCAGTAAGCGGCGTCAGGAGGGCTCAGATACTCCCACCGCAAAGAAGCAGAAGACAAGCTCCGCTGTCGTAGAATCTCCCAAGAAGACGGCGACTTCGAGGAGCGAGGAGGAATCTGAAGCACAGACGGAAGCTGTAGCAAGAGCATTTGGTGATCAGAACGACAAGAAGTTTCAAATGTCGGCGACCTTGTCCTTGACGCTCACATCGGATTCTCCTCGCCCGTCGCAGAGTGTGTGCAAGTCGGTCCAGCAGGCTACAGAGACTGCACAGTCTTTTGGAGAAGTCCCTCGACATCTCAGCACGCGTCAATTGCAATTTGATGAAGAAGTTGATGACAAACCGCTCGATCCGGCAAAACCTGTTGATCATTCACCACCGAAGCCAGCGTCAGAGACTCCGGAACAACCCGAGAAGCATGAGATGTCAGAAGTCGAAGAACACTCTGCATTCTCATTCGCGTTGCTTCCTCCAGAGAAAAGTGCAGAGACGTCTAAAACTGATACTAAGGAAGGATCAGAAGATGAAGATCAAGCAGAGGAAGCGTCAGCGTTCTCATTCGCCCTGCTTCCTTCTCTCACTGGAGCAGGAGTAGCATCAATTAAAGCTTCTCCGCAGCCAGTTGAAGACGGAACTGATGGCGACGAGGCGGATGAAACACTCAAAGAAAAACCAACTGCCAAGAACGAGCTATTGCGTACAAACACCGTCGATTTAACGGAGAAGGAAGACCACAGCACCCCCAGAGAGACGGTAGATACGCTGTCGAAGCATCCAACGGGGAACAAGGATGTCACTCATTTGACAACTCCGAGTCAACAAAAAGAAGACGACGAATGCTGCTCTGTTTGCCTTGAAAGTGAGTCCTATGACGATGATCCTATCGTCTTCTGCGACGGGTGCAACGTGGCGGTGCATCAATTCTGCTATGGCATCCGCGTTGTGCCCAAAGACAAGTGGTTCTGTGACGTCTGCACCGAGACACGCGCTGGGGTTAACGAAGCCAAGCCTAACCAGCCACGCTGCCAGTTGTGTCCACACCGCGGTGGTGCATACAAGCGGACGACATGTGGCCAGTGGATCCACGTTCAGTGTTTCTTATGGATCCCGGAGTTTCGAGTGGAGCAGGGAGACAACGACATGCTGGTTCTCGGTGAATTAAACAGACTGGATCCAGACCGCAAGACGCTGGACTGCTCCCTATGCCACTCGACCAAAGGCAATGGGATTATCCAGTGTGCACACAAGCGATGTCTAACTGCCTTTCACGTCAGTTGTGCTGCTTTCGCTCACTATCGCATGGATCAACTGGATCCTCCTAAAGACGAAGACAGTGGCTGTGGCACTTTGTTTCTCGCGTATTGTCCGCTGCATCGCAACTCTACAGCTCCGATTACTCTTCCCGAACAGAAGACTCCCCCACCATCTAAGACTCGATCGTCTAAGTCATCTCTATCCTCTCCGAGTCATTTGTTAGCATCGCCATCGTCTGCAGAGGCCAAGAAGAAGTTCAAGACCTTCCGACGACTCAAGCGAAAGTACGATGCCTCTCAATCGCAAATGTTCTCGCAAGGAGCGAAGGTATCTCCAGTAGCGACGTCGCCATGGCAGCAGAAGCGTATCAGGAGATCCAAGCGAAGACGAGAGACGTCTCGTGTCTTGGCTGCTGCGTATATTGAAGATACAGCAGACGTTCGAGGTGCTAGAGGGGACGATGACAATGAAGATGACTACGGAGACGACTATAAAGATGCAGCGGATGACTCGTTCATCAACGATTCGTCCCAGTTACTGTACTCGCAGTCGGTTGTATCACCTGAAGAGCTTGGTACCAACACGTCGAAGAAGAAGCGAAAGAAATCCAGTCCCGATATGCGGGCGATCTATGCGCGATCGCTGTTTGAGTCGCAGAGTTCTCCGCTGTTACTGCGTCGAGGCGGGAGGCACTTGGGGGCTCTTCCTTCGAATGGGATTATTCGTGCGTGTCTGGATGAACTGCACAACGGACCGAAGGACGTGGATACGCCGTCTCCAAGACCATGTTTGCGTTCTAGAGTGTCAGAGATGGAGGAGGCAACGACGTTATCTGCTCCGATTAGTGCGTCGGCCACTGTAACTGAGTCGGATGGAGACGATAGCGCCACTGAAGCCGAAGCTTCGCCAAGTTTCAACTTGCTTGGTGCACTTCAAACCGTTCAAGAAGAGGAAAGCGGTGCTGCGGACTCTGAAGCTTCACCTAGCTTTAATCTGCTTGGTACTGGAAGCACTACAAGCACTGGGTCGGCTACTTCAAGACCTCAGCGATGGACTTCAAGTGACGCAAAACTGCCAACCGAACCAATCAACCAGACTCAGGATAGGGATGAAGTGCACATGAAGATCGAGGCAAACCGCTTGAAGGCTCTCAAGAAGCTGGAAGAACGGCGACAAGCTAAGCTGCAAGGTCAAGCACAACCTCAGCCTCAACCCTCGAATAACCAGACTAGTGGATCCACCCCCGCTGCAAGGAGTACAAATGGACCTGTTACTCCTACTCGAGATGCTCCACGTTCGACTTCGACTATCGATCTGACAAGTCCAAAGCTGGCAAAGCCTGTATCAGTCCAACCGAAGTGGATTGTCTTCGTCAGCTCAGCGTTCGCCAGCGCCACTAGTTTCCCTGTTTTCCTATCTGCCAAACACACCGACTGTACTGTTTCCATCGCTGAGTCGATGGAGGCAGATTCTCTACTGAGTGTACGCACGGCAGTTCTCTTCCTGACAGGCCAACAACTACACGAGATGGCTCTAGCATCACCAGCGCAAAGTGTGGTCAAGAGTCGACGGGTTGGGATGTTGTTGGCAATGCACAAGAAACTTATCATAGCAGTCGTCCACGACGGAGGCGATCCCCCTGAGGTACAACGCTTGAGGCAATTTCCGAACGCTACAGTCATCGTCCAGCCTCGCGTCGAGACTCTGTGTACGCAGCTACACCAGATCTCCCAACAAGAACTCGCTGAAGGCTACGAATTGCCGTCTCCCAGTCAGTGTCGACGAGAATTTAACGGTGGTGTTGTAAGAGCACTGGATGCAGATTTTGCGTCGCGACTCAAGTTCTTCCGCTCGATCCCTCCGTTATCGCTGGGTAGTGCGCTGTCGCTGAGCTTCCGCTTCAAGAACTTCCCAGCGTCGCAGGTTCCTGTACTCAAGTTCAACGAGATGCATTGGAGACGCATGTTACCTTGGATTTCAGAGACCACAGCAGAGCAGATTCGGGAATATGTGCAGCAAAATGTGCGGCATTGAGTCTAGACGAGGTGTCATCTACGTTGAACTGCACGTCTAGTTCTTGAGGGACTCGATGACACGGATGGAATCGTCCAAGGTCTTGTCGTCCTTACAAAAGGCCAGACGCACAACACCTGGAGCAAGACGGTTCTCTGGACGACTGAAGAAAGGAGACGTCGGGATCACGGCGAGATGACCAGCTTTGGCCAGTTTGTACGCGAACTGGTAGTCCGGGAATTCCTGCACAAGTCAAACACTGTAAGCGTCACGTCTGGATACGGTATAAAAAACGCCGTAAACGCACCGTCTTAGGGGTGTCCGGCGTGATCTCGATGCCGCGGAATTCGTCGTAGAACGGCAGACCTTCCACGTTGCAGCACACAAAGTAGCCTCCTTCGGGAACAATCGGACGCCAATTGTACGCCTGAAGCGCATCGCACAGGCGGTTGCGCTTGGTCTGTATCATATTAGTTAGAGTACACTAATCAATAACTTAAGGTATTTTGGACCCCGTAATTTACGGTACCTGTAACGTCTCCCGTAATTCGTCGTAGTAACCATTGTGCTGAGCCTGACGGAATGCCGACGCTAGAGCCACTTCGAATGGCGTCGTGCCACAGAATGGCACTGTACTGTGAGCCTTAGTGATGCCACCAACCAGATGCGCTGGCCCCACCGCGTAACCTGCACGCCAGCCAGTACACGAGAAGGTTTTACCGGCACTGAAGAGCGAAATGGTGCGATCAAAGAAGCCAGGCAACGCCGCGATACGCTTATGTTCCAATCCGTCGTACGTCATAAACTCGTACACTTCATCAGCCAAGACGATGACGTTCGGATGACGCTCCAAGACACGTGCGAGCTGCTCCAGCTCCTGCTTGGAGAAGACTTTGCCCATGGGGTTATGAGGAGTATTGAGCACCAGCATTTTGGTCTTAGAGGTCAGTTTAGCCTCGAGTTTCTCCAGATCCGCCTGGAAATCATGCGACGTGAAGCGCTCGGTCACATTCGAGTCCTCGCTTAAGAAGGCGGAACGCTTGGCTGGATCGAAGCGGAATGGAACACCCGCAGACTTGACACCGTGTAGTTGAGAGACTGTCACGTAGGCGTCGAAATAGGGCTCAAAAGTCAGCACTTCGTCTCCAGGTTCAAGTACCGCCGCCATGATGGACGCGATTCCTTCCTGAGCGCCGTTAAACGTCACGATCTCCGTCATGGGGTTTAATTCGCGGTTTAATAGGGGCGAGTACATCTCAGCCAGCGTCTCAACGTAGCTTGGGTGGCCACCGGGACGCGTGTACTGATTGTTGCCGTCCGTAATGGCGTCGATGGCCGCTTGTTGGACGAATTGTGGCGTCCCGAATGACGGGAAGCCTTGGCCCAAATTTACGGCCCCGTGCTGCGCAGCTAGGGCGGAAAACTCGGCGAACACGTTGTCGGGCAGCGTACGCACGCGTTGCGAGATACTGCGCACATGGCGGAGCGACGGGAGCACGGACGGGAGCACGGACGGCAGCTTGAACAAGGGCAGCATCGGACTTGATGAGCAAAATGATGCACAAGAGGGAGCTTCAAGCTGCAAACTCACTGGACCTCACTATTGCTTACAAACATCAAGACAAAACCTACTTTATGTTAATCAAATGATTTTACAGTGCTGGCCATAAATTTGTGCGGACCATTATTTTGCAAATAATTAGAAGCAAATAAAGCCAAAATTGCGTAGAATTGCTATTTAAACGAAGAGCTATGGAGCATACAATTCTTTTGGCGAGGCGGTCCGTGATTGTAGAGATACAGGAGTGACCATCACTCTGACACTGGCCAGAAGTCTGTGCGCGCTCGAAAATTTCTGCATTCTCAAGCCCGTACATGCTTTAAAGTCCTCCTAGTACTTTGGTTTCTTGCCTTTGTCCTCTAGTGTGACGGGGTCACACAGCACCTTGTGCAGAGGAAGTTTATTTCCTCTAGAGTATACAAACTCTAAGTGAACGACCGTTCA